TAAACTCACACCAGGTGTGTATGCATGTGTGCCCAAGATCCCGAGAGCAGAATGGAGGAGAAGGGATTGCAGCATGGCCATCCCCCCTGGGGGGTGATTTCTCGCTTTCTGTCTCTCTGTCTTTCTCTGTCTTTCTGGTGAGTGCATGCGCCCTATAGCAAAAACTTCTCAAAAAAAAAAAAAAATTCCAAAACAACAAGGTTCTCTGTATTGGCCACCAGATGGCACAGTTGTCCCACATCATCTGGTTGCGTGGAATAGTGGCTAATTTTTGGAATGTGTGGAAAAGGGAAGGATGAAGAAAAGGCAGTAGAACCAGTTCCAAAGAAGAGAATGTTCTTGAAAACAGGTCCATGGCGTAGACTTGCTTATTTGAATTTCTGGTTGAGACTGGCTTTATGCTATCATCAAATAAATTATGTCGGTATACTGACCCCCTTGTAATTTTTGTGAGAAAGTTAACTTCTTAGATATAGTCACCAATGAAATATATTTTAAAAATAATTACTTATTTAATTTTATTTATTCATCCATTTATTTTAATTTGACCAGAGAAAGAAAGATACAGAGAGAAGAGGAAAGTGAGAAAGTAAGCCACCAGGTCTGGGACTCAAACTGTCCTCAGCCATGTAGGCATGCCCAGCACCTTAACCACCACGCCACCTGCTGTCCCCATCAATAAAATACTAATAGCAATGGAAAAAAAATTTTTTTTTGGAGAGGTTTTTTGCTACAGGGCGCGTGCGCTCGCCAGGCAGACAGAGACAGAGAGACAGAAAGCGAGAAATCACCCTCCAGGGGGATTGGCCACGCCACAGTCCCTTCTCCATTCTTCTCTCGGGATCTTGGGCACAGACACACACGCCTTGCATGATTTTAAGCCACCGGGTCCAGGACTCCGGTCGGCTATGTGGGAGTCCAGTGACATAGCCATTATGCTAACTGCTGGCCCCAACAATGGAAAAAATTTTGAGAAAAGGTACTATATTGTCAAGTATGAAGATATGACTCAGTTTTTTTCAGTGAATAATGCTACTGCAATTGTATGTTTTGTTTTTAAAGTTTGCTATAAGGTGCATGTACTCACCAGAGACAGAAAGAAAAGAGAGAGAGTGAGAAACCTGCCCCTAGGGGGAATGGCTGCATTGCAGTGCCTTCTCCATTCTCTTGGGATTTTGGGCACATACACCTGGCATGTTTTTCAGACTGCCAGGTCCAGGACTTGAACGTGTACAGCCAGCCACCTTAACCACCATGCCATTTGCTGACCCTTTATATGTTCTGTGACTGACTTATTTCACTAGAGAAGAATCCTTTCCTTTAGTTGTGGGCTTTAGAAAATAGAAGTGAGGGGCCAGCAGATGGCACATAGTAGTTCTATTCCTGGACTCCCACATGGCACATAATGGTTCGAGTCCTAGACTTGGTGGCTTAAAAACCATGTTAGGCACCTGTGCGTGTCCAGCATCCTGGGAGGAGAATGGAGGAGAAGGGACTGATTGTAGTATGGCCATCCTCCTGTCTCTGTTTCTCTTTCTCTCTGAATGTACACTCCCTAAGGCAAAAAACATCTTTCAAAAAATAAAATACTGAAATGAGCATTCAGCTGCTGCTGTCGGTTTTAACATGTCTTGGGATCTTCCTGCCCCAGCCTCCCAGAACAGAAAATATTTAATTATTAGCATTTTAGAAGTTGGCAACCTTTGTTTTCTTGAGATCAGTGGTGTTATGAAGGCAAAAGGACTTATGTAGTTTCACTTAGTATTAATAGTGTGTTTGCTAACCATGAAATGGAAGAAAAATGCAAAATAATAAAATAACATATTTAATCATGGAATCCGCTCTCTAACACCGATGGAATCAGATTAGAGGAAAGATTGCATGTGTTCCAGAGGCTCTTCCCTATTTGTGTTCCAGTAATAACCACTACAATCTTACAAATTGGTCATTTTGTTTGCCTGAGAAAATGTTATTATTTTATTTCTTTTCATTGCTTATTCAGGTTAATCTAAACCATGTTTGTGCTTCGTTCTCCTGATTGTCAGTTCTCCCTTTTGTTTCTGATATCTACATTTTTTTTTAGAGAGAGATTTTTTTCTCTAGGGCATGTGCACTCACCAGAAAGACACAAAGAGACAGAGTGAGAAATCACCCCCTAGGGGGAATGGACATGCACACATATGTGCTCAGCATGAGTTTTAAGCCCTCGGTCCCAGGACTTGAACCATGATTATGTGGGAACCCAGCAATGTAATCATTATGCTGTCTTCTGGTCCCAACATTCATTAATTTATATATATATATATAT